CGCTGTTCCTTGAAGATTTCAGAAACGCTTAGTTATAACGGACGAAAAAACCAAAACACCGATCTGCCGCTTGAGATTTCTTTATTGTTACACCAACATATAAAAAGAATAAGTGAACTAAGGTCTGTGAACAAATATTACAATAAGAAATCATAAGATTACTTCTGACGATGTTTTACTCTTCTTTCTGAACAGCGACCGATGAGACGATGACTGTCGTATTGATGCCTCCGCGAAAATTGGGGAAATTGGTTTTGAGCAAACAACCAAGAATTGATCGTTCAATCTTCAACTCCATTGACATCCTGCGTCAAAGTTTCGGAAGACCTTCAGTGATTGTAAGGAAATTATTTGAGGCCGTTAAGGGTAATGGTGGTCAATTACAAGGTGACTCCAAGGCACTCTCCGAGTTTTTGGATAATCTGTTGGCTTACAAGAATGCATTGATTTCGATGAATTGCGTGAGTGACATCAACTCGAGTTCCGTCCTAGAAGTAATAGCGAGACTCCTACCTACTCGACTGCAAAGGAAGTGGATGAAGATAAGCTCCTGTATAAAGGATAAAGGTATCGCGTTAAATTTTGATGATATTCTGAAACTGGTAAAAGATGGTGTCAATCAATCTATGAACAAGTTTGCCAGTATATTGCATCTCAACCCTAGAATAGAGCAGTCTGAGGGCAAAACGCAATCATTGGTGACGAATAAGCCTCAGAGAGGTGGATATCGAGAAAGCTCTATGATGTATAGTAATGCATATAAACTTAGTGAGTGCAACAGGTTTCGTAGTACATCCTCAACAGATAAGTTACAAGATGCAAGACAAACACGGTTGTGTTTCACACGTTTGCAAGAGGTGCATACAAAGGTGAACTGTGAACCAGTGAGCAAGTTCAGTGATAAGCTAAATGTAAACTCCAGGCATGACTCCGAATTGTGTGACGATAACGGTGTGGCCAAGAAGCCTGTAGTTGCAACCAGTAAGCCATTGTTGAATAGGGTGTCACAGAATAGAGTTGCTGCTTCAGAGTCCAGTTCTGACCCTACAAGTTTACAAGGTATTACTAGTCAGAGTGAAGTTATAAGACCTTTTAGGATTTGCGAGGAGGAACCAAAATTATCTACTTCTGTTATTAAAGAGTTTGAAAATGATAAAGTTGACGGTAAAGTAAATATTCGTGATAATGATCATGATACTTCACAGTTGTCTTTGGTTGATCATGATGAGATGAGGGATATGCTTACTACTGCTAAGTTGAACAAGGGTTCTGTACAACTTGAACGTGAAGTAGAATTAAATGCAGATGCAGTTGTAGAAGGTATGGATATTTGTGAGACCGTCAGTGTGATTGATCAGCGTGTAGCCCACCTATTATCAGATGCTATTGCTAAACCGGAGCTCATAGTAAAAGAGAGCAGTGGTGCTAGTCTTGCAGTTAGACAACTTTCTGAAGGCCGAACAACAACAGCTTCTGGTCCACCGCTAAGTTCATCAACTGGTATGAATCAGTCGTCGTTGGTGTTGTCATCCAAAATGAAAAAGACGCCCATCAACTCAAGTATCTTGTGCAATGACTATGATAGTATTGGTGCATTTGAAAAGACGTAAGGTATTGCTCAGTTTAGTGAGGATAAACCAAGTGTGTACGAGAGGATAATTGTTAAATTGACTTGCATGAATAAAGGTTTTTCAAGTTCTAAGTTACTAATTGAATGCTATTATCTTTGGTGTAAATTACTCTGTGCCCACGCTTGGTTGATCAGATTTGTCGTGTGTTTGTTGGTCATCCAAATTCCACGGTACAATGAAATGGGCATGTCACCGTTCAGATTTGAAGATAAAGATGATAGAAGTTCAGCAGATGAACTCTGCGACGATTTTCCAACCTACAGCGTCAACCTGAGAAGGGTTGTAGGCTTACTGCCGTAAGTTCTACAATTCTTCAAAGGCAATAGGTTGAAGCTCAGTCCATCGTACCTGGGGTGTTATTTTGTACATATGTTCATGTTGTATATACTGAATTGATATCATCTGTCATCTAGCTGTTGGTAATCCTGTTTGTGTCCGGACGACTCCCACTTGGATCATCAACCTGAGAAGGAATGTAGGCGTACTGCTGTAAGTCATACAGCTCTTCAAGGGTAGTTCGTCATGGCAGAATCCACAACATTTGATGTATTCATTGTACATATATTTGTGTTAAATAATTTTGTGAGTTCCAATTATTGTAATTGTTGGTTAATCTTGTTTGTGTCCGGACATTCTACAACTTACAATCGTCAACCTGAGAAGGGTTGCAGGCGTACTGGTGTAAGTCCTGCGATTCTTCAAAGGAATTACATCAAGACACGATCGGCGAGGTTATTTGCACTGTTTGTATATAGGTGTGGTGTGTCATATGAATTAGTGTTTTTTGGATCCATTCTGTTTACTTGTCGTTTTCGTATCGTGTTGTTATTGCAAAATTTTGTTAAATTTTTCGTCGTGCTTACTTCTGAAGTTGTTTCGAGTCTTCTACATCTGTGAATGAATTGATTGATGTTAAAGACAGCAGATGGGTCGTATACGTCGGAGAGTCTATTGCTGAGAATGACATGCACATGGAGATAATGATTAGCTGTGGTCCGACACGCCGGGGAGCGTGAGTGTAGACGACTGAATCCTGCATACGTCACCGTTACTAGAACTGAGGCAGAGTGAGTGACAAGTGATTGCTGTCTCAATTGGTAGTGGGTAGATAAGAGGATGTGCGAAGAGTATCATGAAGTGCTTCTATGGTCACGTTGCGTTCTGCAAGAGTCATTCTAGCAAGTGGCAAGAGGATGCCTGTAACTGGAAGGCGTAGGTAGTCATCGATGTGTGAGATTGTGCTGTGGGTATGCTTGTGGTGTGTTGGCTTTTCTGTTTGTTTTCCATTTCAGCTTTGTCCGTGTGACCCAGGTTCCCGCGATGGCATCCAAGTCAACGTCTACTGGTCGTGGTGGAAAAAATGGGATGGATCCGTTTTTTGTCGGGGAGTGTCAATGTAGTTGAAGATTGAACGATCAATGCATGGTTATTTGCCCAAACCCAACCGTATGTCTTTCAAGGGGGTCGTCCACGCGGCAGTCATCGTTTCATCGTTCTCTGCTCAGAGGTAGATAAAAAACTATCAGAAGTATTGTGATTTATTGTTATGACATTTGTTCCTAGACTTTGTGTACAATAACCCAATGGTTAGCACTGTATTAGTGCAGGAATAAACGGTTATTGAGTCACCAATTTGCATTCTGGTTATATGCGTTGGTTATTGATTATAGCTACTGAATGTCCTCCAAGGACAGTGTGAAGTCCAGCGTATTTAGACCTGGACAATGACAATATATACACTAATATACACTGGATTTATGAGGCAGTCTCATGAACGAAGGAACAAATGTCGAGTTAACAAAATACTGTTACTGCTACTAAAAGTGAAAACGTTGAAAGTGAAGACTCTGGTCACAGCCTATCACACTTGAGTTCATAAGGAGACATTTAAAAATCAAGTTTCGAGGCGGTATAATTGCAGTCGGCATAATTATGAACCTTTAACCGTGTTCGAGACGTTACTTAGTAGTATACACCCAATAAACAGATTAATATGGGACTACATACTACCACAAAGCCCAAGTTTTACACATACATCAAACGCTAAATCTGTTGTTTTGGAGAAAAGTTGGAAGCTTGAATAAAAGTCTTCTAAATGAGCAAAAATCTCCTCTGTCACATTCGAGGTGTCAATTTGTCTCGAACATCACAACTCCTGTCTCTAACTTGAGTATAAGTTCAATGCAGAATTAAACCTCTCCTGTGAGGAAGTGTTAACTTTTGTGACTTATAGGGGGCTCGTCATTAAGGTATATCTTGACAGTATTCTTATAGACTATTACAGTTGGATATGCAGTGTTATGTAAAGCAGGTTGTCAGTGGAACATTGTCAGTTAAATTACATAGTAAGACCCATTTACTGGCGACCTGTCTTACTGGCTGTGTTACGCAGATCCCTGACTTGTAGGAGACCAGACTTCTGTGCGATTTTTTGCCGAGTCACAGTAAAGCAAAACGAGCAACTGCTTCAGTTTCTTGGTTAACTCTAGTACTTATGGCGAACCACAACGGTTTAGAAAGTTTAAGGTTGAAAACCCACTAATATGCTATCAATCAGAGAAAAATTTATATCCCATCACGGTATCTTCTTAAACCATTAGTTTTTAGTCAGTTGGAAATAAAAATCGCAGTGAAAATTAAATCCACAAGACTGGAATACACTGCACAGATGATTAGAATAATATTTGAGTAAAACTAGGATAGTTGTTTGAGTATCGTGTGAGTTTTGATACTTGGAAGAATGTTTCCAATTACTTTAGGACAGCTTACCGAGAAGCTGTGTAACAGGTAATTGCTATTATTATTGACTCTTTGATCGAGTTAAGAAGCAGATTATCATATCGTCTCATTATTCATATTGGCACAATTTAACTTATCACTTTGTTTTGTTCGGCGGTATCACTAGTCGCGTGTTTTAAAAGTCCGAGTGGTCATGGTATGTTGGGAGTAATGACTAATAACATGTCTGCAGGGTCGTGTCAGAACAAAAACTGTCAAAAAGGCCTCGAGGTTCATTATCGAAAGGTTCTACTCGAAGTTGACCAGAGACTTCCATACTAATAAGAAAGTGTGTCAAGATATCGCATGCATCGGGTCGAAAAGACTAAGGAACATGATTGCGGGTTATGTGACACACTTAATGAAGAGATTTGAAGCCGGTCCAGTTCGCGGAATCAGCATAAAGTTGCAGGAGGAGGAGAGGGAAAGAAGAGATAATTACCAACCTGAAGTTTCCATTTTCGATGCCGTCACACTAGACATTGGCCCAGTGGTACAGGAAATGTTGCAGAGCATGGTAAGATTTTATCTCGTGCTGATTACTTTTCTTCCAGAACATCGCTCATGCAAAGAATATACGTTCCGTGTTACCTGTTGTTAAGTGAATTGAAATTTGATAATAAATTGGTCTGTGAATAACGATTTCTTCTTTGCTTTACCATTTTAACTGCAAATTAGTGTTTCGAATATTCTAGTCCATGTTCGTCATGATTTTGTCTGTGTCTTTTGTACCTGGGGTGCATCAGGCAAGTAATACATTGCCTATATTGTGAGCTGTAATACTATGTGGACTTGTCTGCTGTTGGGATTTCCCAACTCTTATAGGATTATGTGATAAAAGTTGCCTTTAAGTTCTGAGAATGAGGAGGCTAATATTATGGCACTTGCATATTTTTGTAGAGGTATTGCCAGTCAGTGCTAATTAGCATTTGGAGCAGGTTCGTACACACTTTAACAGAGCAACTAGGCAAGTGATTACAATATAAACGCTTTTAGCAACTTCGAAGTTACGTTTGCTGGAAAATATCTAGGTTTGCAGATCGTCGACTCTAGTACTGTAGACTTAAGAGTGTGCTTAACGGCTTGAATGATTCATTATAACTCCGTTGGTGAATTCTAAAAGTAAGGCAGCTGCGAAGTTTTCTCACCTAAATTCATAAAGAGTACAGACTGTCGCTTTGTGTCAATACTTTAGAACTGGAAGAAAATAACTAAATGATGATACTTTGTAATCTACCTGTACAAATAATCCGTTACCAAAGGGTCTGTTCGCTCTCCGAACATTTCTATCACTAGCCAGACAACCCAGAATCAGGTCTGAATACTAAATCAGTTCCTATGTGTGTGTGCTCCCTCGGTCAGCTGGGTGAGGGTAATTGCGCCATTGTAGACCTTATTGTGTAGAGGCTGTAGTAGTTCATTTGGGCCCTTTTGCGATGGGAAAGTACCGTCACATGGATGAACAAAAAGTGTGTTTGAGAATAAGGTGCTACGTCAAATTGAGTTTAGTAAACAAAGTGTTACGTTTTCTTTCCCAGGGTTGTACAAGTTCAAACCATGCCGTGATTCAGTAAAAGTAGCTAAGCTTGGTTCATGAAAATGGGCTTCGGAACCGCTTCTCTTATATGTGCAACATGTGGTTGTTTGTCTAGTAATATATCACATAAAGCTAGCTACTTGGGAACTGATGACCATTTTCTTGTGGTGTCTGGGGCTATCAAACTGATTTCATGGTGTTATGATTTCAAGAGATCTCATAACTTTTTCAGACTTATATGTATGTATACTAAGTTCTCCCTAGCTCCACTGCACCAACATCATGCCATTTTTAAAGCAGAGATGTGGTCATGATTGTTGGTTGTATGTACCCTGAGGAATTGCTGATTGTATCCATAGTGCGACAGTCACTTCAGGGTAGAAGGATGTTAGTTTCCACAAGCCACACTGCAATATCTTGTTATATATTTCTGAGTACAGCGTTTTATAGGTGTGTGGCGTTCTGATAAATGTAACATGCTTTTTCGTTGGCCCATAAATGATTGCAGTAATTGTATATCCTCTGAGTTCTTGGAAGCTTAATTACTTGTAATTCTCTACTAAGTACCACAATTTTAGCCTAAGTTCTATCACAAATGTCATCTTTTGTTAGCTGTATATATATATATATATATATATATATATATATATATATTGCATATTGTGATGACTTCGATAGTTCAAGAGGCTTAACCTTAAATTAACTTTGAGGTCACGAGGCGCTGACAAAGTGGTTTTCTGAACACTGAGAAATCGTTGTATGTTTACATGCGATTGGTCCCTGTTGAGTGTGCGATGATGCTGTAGGACTGATCTGCAAAGTCTCCCAGTCTGAAGATCGTAGGTGAAGCGATCAGACATGTGACTGCTTCACTTATTTGGAATGTTGGCTGACAAAGTTTCAATACAAATACAATAGGCTTATGCGGTATTCGCTAACCCAAATCACCTCTTCTAAACGTGCTATCCGGTCATCGATCATACGAAACGTGTTTCGCGCACCAATTCTCTACATAAGTGAGACGTGGTCGTCAGACCTCGAAAGGCTAGTTGTCTTTGACTAACAGTTTTCGTGTTTTATCTCCTGTGTACATAATAAAGTATGGTATATAATACCTGTGGTTTTAAAGGGAAATCAGTGGATGGGTCTACGAAACTACTTTGACTGAGATGGCCAGGATACGTGATGCGCATGTCAAGCCATCGTTTTCCTCGTTGAACGTTGTTATCTAGTAGGATTAGTTTGGAAAAGATAAAGGGATGGTCAAATCATTCATCAATCCTTGGAGTGTTTGACGTTTGGTTTCAGCCACGTGTTGAAGTGTGGGCTCTTTGGGTCCTCAAGATGCTAAGAAGGAAATGCTGGAGACCTAAGACGGATAAACGGTTGACTAATCATAGTCTCGGATAATCTTGTTATATACTTCTAATGAGCTACAGATGGATTGCGTGAAAATCTGTCTTCATAGCACTTAAGTCGTGTATGTATAACTTAGCCAGTTTTCAGTGTTGATGCAAACATTCATCTCCACTCATCGCATACTACTGATAATACTCGAAGGATCCCCCAGCGTGTGCATTGAGGTAACCATCGACATATGTGCCTATCTGTGAGTGCTCATGTTTGGACATCAATGCTTACTTTTCATAACTGCAGAATACTACAGATGTTGTGTTAAGTCTTTAGTGATTTATTTTCTCTGGTGTTTCCTAATTCAAACAAATGCTGTGTTCACATCTATGTCCTTCAACGCTCAAACAATTTATTTCGGTGAAATGTAGAAAGCTTGCATGTAATGGTCGATTGGAAGTTCGTTTTTCATCTGATTGTCGTTCAGCACATATTGCTGTTTGTCTCGTCTGTTACTTTCGATGCAAAATTGCACCTTATCACTTGAAGGCACATGCATAATCCTCATCCTTATCATCTAATTTTGTACTTAAAGTTTTCATGGCGATAAAAGCTAAGTAAAGTAAAAGAAGTCACTGTGTGCTGTTCAGCTTTATATCTCACGAGGATATGCGAAATTTCTGTAATATATATATATATATATATATATATATATATATATATATATATATATATATATATATATGCCGTAAGTAAATTGCAAGGATTTCTCTGTGTCTTCTGATAATTAATGCGACTAAATTGTTTAAAATAGAAAAGTGATTATTATGAAACAAGCTAGGATTACTTTGCAGATCGCGATCAGACGCAAAAATACAAAAGTTTCATTTTGTTTTAGTGTTTTTATGACTAAATTATGTTAATATTTTTATTAACAAATGCTATTTCATCATCAAAATTTTAAACGTAACATGATTGAGTAGGAGCTGAGTAAGCTATTTTTATGCTTTAATTCTGTGGAAACAAACAGTGTACGGGGGAGCTTAATGCTAATACAATCATTGACTTGTTAAAATAAGGTTCATTGGAAAACCGCTTGTTGTTTCGGTTGAATGGTTATTACAGTATCTTCCGTCTGTGTATCTGAAACAAAAAAAGAAAGATGTTAAACTTATTTAGATTGGGATGATGAATATGATAAATACTTGTTAAGTGGACTTTCCTACTGACTATACCACCTTCGAAGGAATCGAATTCATTCTTTAAACTGTCAGTAGTAAAGAAAGCTGTTTTATTACTACGATGGATTGTTACCTAATTTCTTTGCGTAGGCATGCTAATAGAAGTCTGTGAGTCATCAGTAGGCAACCCAGAATGAACCAGTTTGACAAACATTTTACGCATATACTATGTAGAGTGTGAAAGTGAAACCAAACCCACTTCTGCGGAACGCCATAGGATTTAACTAGCTGTCATATTTCACTTGTACTGCAACAGGGGACATAAGTTCCTTAAATATTGTAGATACATCCTGACGACGAGTGCAAAGAAGGACGAATCCTAGGTTTTAAGCTTCCTGCTGATCGCCTCCAAGAACCTAACGAGGATTCAGTGGGTACATTCAATCCGTCGAACAACAAAAGCAAAATAAGAGTAGTTTGGAATATTATTAACATCCTCAGAATACTGAAGATTGATCAAATTGTAAATACGGGCGTGAAGATCAGTGGGATTAGATTGAAGGTTATTAAATGCAGGTAGCTAATAGATATATGTAAATGTTTCTGTCAGAAAGCAACCGTCTGATTAATACAATTGTGATTAAGTATGAAGTCTTTTGGGTTGCTATTTGGCGCATGATAATGGACCCTAGACATTTAGAAAGAGCTAGTTTGACTCACTTCTCAGTTGGAAAACACCTATTGTCCTTGACTATTTCTTGAAAAATATATAATAAGTGAATTCTGCCGTATTATAACTAGTATAGTTCATCTGAAAATGCATCAGATTCTTTCTGATGAATCTAAATTCAAATTGGATAACCATACAAAAGATTAAACGTTGTCGACCGAAAGGAAAATTGTGCAGCATCTGCCGCAACTCTTCAAAAAGAAATACATTGATGAAAACACAAAAATATCAAACCGATTGTGTCACAAATCCCCAAATTATACGGACGCGTTAAAATACATAAACCAGAAGTCCCGTGCAGACCTATACTCTCAGTGATAAATTCACCATACCACAAATTAGCACAGTGGCTATGTAAATTGTTGCAGCTCTTGGGAAAACGTTTCGGAACGTGTATAGTTTCTGATCCATTTCAGTTTATCAAGCAAATTAAAGATTTCAATGCATCTGATAAGCATCCGGTCTCTTTCGATGTTACCTCCATCTTCACAAATGCGCCAGTCGTTGAGACTGTTGACTTCATATGTAGAGAAGCTGAAGACACACCCATTCCAACTTCGGAGTTGAGGAAATTGTTACTTTTATGTACTAAAAATGTCCAACTCCAATTCGACGGGCGTCTATTCCGTCAAGTTTATGGTGTCGCGATGGGAAGCAATTTGGGATCACTTTTCGCTGACTTATTCTTGTTACGCCTAGAAACCGGTACCTTGCAGCAACATATACAAGAAACGGATGTAAACCTAAGATATGTTGATGACATTTTTATTGTCTGTGGAAGCAGATCAAATGCCGAAGATATGTTGATAAAATTCAAGTAATGTCATCCAAATCTCAATTTCACAGTAGAACACGAGGAAAATGATACTATTAAATTCCTAGACGTTTTTCTAGCCCAAATGTTGACACAATCGAAAGATCTATATTTAGAAAGTCTTCATGGACAGGACAGTACATGCATTTCAAGAGCTTTCTTCCAATCCAGTATAAAAAGAACTTAGGACATTGTTGAATAGAGCACGGAAAATTTGTTCTGATAGTACTATTGAGCATGAAATAAAATCTCTGAACGACATTTTATCTAAGAATGGATATCCTGAGAAGTTCATTAATAAATACTCTAAAGAAATTAGTCCCTGCAAAACAATCCAAACAGTTCCGAAGACACCTGTCTATAACAGTTTGCCGTTCAAAGGGGATGACGTACAGGAAGTAGTCAAACGAAGATTCGACAAAGCCATCAAGAGAACTTATTATGCTGCAAAACTTGTTATCCTTAACACCAACAAGGTAGTGCTTCAACATTCTGGGAAAGACCAGTCGCCCATCCTCGACACTTCAAACTGCGTATACCAATTTGAGTGTGTTTGTGGAAGCAAATACATAGGTTGTACGGAAAGGCGATTGTCTACTCGCATGATGGAGCATTTGCTTAAATGGTTGAAAACAGCTGAGTGCATGGTGCCAAAATCTTCAATAATAAAACGTCTTGTGGATTACGGACATGATATCGACGCGGTCAAGTCATTCACTATTGTCAGCAGACAAAGGAACAAGAAGGTGCTTGCAATTGCAGAGGCTTGTGCAATTTGAATTTATAAACCAGGTCTCTGTGTACAAAATGAGATGGTTGTGACTTTGAGTATACCATGGTAATACGTTTTACTTATTATTCTTCACTTATTATTGTTATTATTCTACCTCATTACTATTATTATTTTATTAATTATTCTTGATTCATTTAAAACTATCGTTTATAAGTAGGATTATCCTAACCCACTTCAACACTATTATTATTATTGCTATTATAACTATTACTATTGGTATAAGTCTATTTGCAATTCTTTTTATGTTCTCTAATGACAGATTGTTTATCTAAGTGATGTAATTGAAGCGTAATGCAATTTATCTTAATTTTGGTTTCATACTCCCTCTCCCCTTATCTATTTGAACATGACCTGGAAAACATTCGCACCTGTCTTTCTGCATGACTAATTCAATGTAGTTTGTACACATACCAGTCCTGTATCGCCCAATGTAATTTCAAAAGTATGTATATCCATGTATGTAGAGTATTCAACTGACAAGTTCTACCGAAATTTGATGAATTCATTAAATCCTGATTTATTAACCTTTATTGCTAGTTTTAAATTCGTATCGGGAAATAAATGTTTTCAAGTCTGAATATTTGACAGCATGCTCTACTTCCGTTTACTCTTTATTATCAACCAGCTACTTTGATGTAATATTCCACTAGACTTTCAGAGTCTTTAATGTACTACTGCATGCTTAAGCGCATGAATAAATCCGTTCTTTCACTGATTCTTTACTTGTGAGTTAGTCTACGATGGTTTTACCTTTTTAAGGTGGATTAAAAAAGAAATATTCTGTTCAAAAGCTGTAAATAAATTTCCGAACGAATTATAGGCCCCTGAACAGAGGAATACCTTCAGAAGACTGAGGCTAGGTTTCTGTTTCATACTCGATAGTTCTATAAATGGTGTGAAGCGTGTGCCTGTTAGAAACTACTAATCCAATGTCTAACTTAGAAGTTGTCATCTTGGTTTGGTTTCTTGGAAAGCTACTTAACGCTGATAGGATTTATGTACAACTCATATTATAAGTGACAGTATCGTACAATAGTTCTAATCTACACGTAATACGTTGAGTGTATGTGCTATTACCTCACTGTTGTTTCGCTTAGTTCCTCGTCTGCGACTTCACGTGGTTGTTATAGTATTCCATGTGTATTTTTTTCGTAGAGATCACGTGAATATAATTCCGAGCAAGCACTGCCAGGACCACTTTATTTTCACCGAAACCGTTAAGCTAGAGAATCTATTATCAGAAATTAATATTAGTAGGGAGACAAACAACTTAGGTTTTACTGTTTTTGGCAAGTGTAACTACTTATGCATGTTATGTACTAACTTAACTTATTTGCAAAACTTCGAGTGTTTTTTATGTAAACATTCTCGTGCACTTATTGATTAAAGGTGAGAATTTGATAATTAAAATTTTCTAAATGATCCTCTGGGATCTGAATAAGTAGTTGGTCTCGGTTAAGATCTATTGACAGTATTATATCTGCTAGAGAACCAGTGAGAATCATTGAGATGAGGAACAGCTGTTAGCATGTTGCTACTCTTTGCTATGCGAATCTATATATTATACTTGATACACTCAGAAGACATTTTGCTAGTTTCAACTGTCCTTTAGATGGGAGAGTGGAGAATGTGGCAACTTTCCGCAGTAAAATCAACCAAAATATGCAGTTATAGGAAAATTTTAGAAAAAATCAAGCACTCCCATATGCTGAAATATCTTCCTGAAAGGTAACTAACATTCACATGGGCCAGTAATTTCTGCTAAGTATATGTGCTCCTTAAATGGATTTTAACCTTCCATAACGCTTATGTGATAAACCTTTCGGATGATTCTGATTTCAGCTTTCTAATTCCGTTCATGCGACTGCAATATCAGTGCAGTTATAATCAATACTCCAGTCAACTTTATCTACCCTAATAGCTCTGTTTTGTGGTCAAATCAAATAAATATAGTCATGCTACATCCTGTATATCTTTTACCTATCGTACAATCGAAGTATTATACTGTAGTATATTGCTAGTAAAACATCAGATTTATCTTGAGGTTCAAAATCTAGAGTGGATTTCCATAGAATGCACTCTTTATTTTCCTAAGGTGCGAGGCAAAAAATTATCGAATCTGGTGAAAAAGTGCTTCAGCCATGTTTTCTCATTGAAGTCATTATAGATGATCTGAATTGTTTTGAAAAGTATACGAATAGTGATTTAAATACTACATCGATCAAATTATATTAAATTCTTAGATAGGTGTACTGACGTTTAGTCTCAGCAGCATCGAATTCTAGGAAATTTTCGATCATCCTGATGGCACAACTGGTAGTCAAAGTGAATCTAATTTGAATATGTTTGTGAATATATGTTCGACGTTATTTTGATTTTACTTCGTCATTAACGATAAACTTTTTCAAATACACATTATAAAAGTAGCAGAATATCCGTAAACAAAGTTTTCTTGCCCTTCGGAAATTTCGCCCATGTAGAAATATCAGAATATAGTAAGGTGCGGTGGATGTCACAGACCACTTGACGTTGCCTGAGGCGTTTCTCAAGCCAGAGTCTGGTTTTTGTAGTAAGCTTAACTGAGTTCCTTTGTCCGAGAAGGGACAATGTGCATAATCAAAAACTTTACCTTAGAGAATTTGTGGGGAAAATGGGGAGAGCAAAACGAATAAGCATCTAAAGAGTACACAGTTATTGCATGGTAGAGATATGCAACAAGAAATTCTCATAAACGCTGAGGTCGTTTGAGATGATTTCATGATATGTTGTTATGCTGTTGATATATTTAAGTCATCAGGCTAGATAACCTATTTTGAAGATGTCTTAGATGAAGATATATATATATATATACTTACCCTTTGGTACGGTGTTTGCTCCCTCGTTGTTATTGATTTCACGGAGTTCAGATCGTTCGGAACGCCGACACTTTAGTCCTAGTGGCCGAAACACCCGATATCTGCATGGTTCGTTTATTCTTTCTGTTACTTTCATGGTTCTGTATGCTATCACTAAAGATTGATACTGTTTTAATTTTGCAAATATATTCAGAAAGATGTTTTACTTTCTTTTTATTGGTGAAAATATCCGGTTTTGTCACCAATTCTGAAGAAGATACATTATCCTTGATGAATTTAGCCAAACAAGATCTGGCGTGAATTGGTAGGGAACACTGATATTCGAGGTCTGTTGGATCGAAAGTCACACTCTGCGCCGTTCTAAATACGTGAAAAGTGAGTGCAATAATTGTACTTTTTGCGTGTGAGTAATTCATAGAGTAAAGTTAAGAGGATGACCGCTGCATTACTTTTGTTAAATATAACCCCTTCGATAATATCTTGCGGCACATAAATGTTCAGACAACGAAAAATCTAAACTTATCATAATTACTTTGTATCAACCTCATTTAGTAATTTCCAGTTTTCTAATTTAACAGTGATGCCTTGGCCGTCATTAAACTTTTGAAGGTTTACTGACTTTGGATAGTAGTTATGTATTATTTCAGCCACCAACAATCCGTTGGAAACGCACCTGATTGTTTTTGTCCGTTACCTACCGTGAAACATACCATTTAAGTTTCTCGTGGTGTACATTTATATTTAAAGAAAGAAGCCAGCGTAGGATCTCACGTGAAATTTCCGCCATGCCGTTACCGTGGTAACAAGAAGTTGCACAGAACTAAAACTTGCACCTAGATGATGAGTGGATACTCCAATATCCATTATCTTTTTCACGAGCTAGTATAAATCAATTTGTTTGTGCTTGCCTCTTGATTGTGAGGTATAGGTTCCTGATCTTCGGTAAACTTTTGAGTGGCTCGTCCCACCACTCGACTGTCGTGGCTTTGGTTGACTCCAAAAGGAGTAGTGCTGGGATTAATTATATGTGGTTTGCAGTATGAGGTGTGTTAAGACCTTTACTGCCGTGAATACAGTTGATCCTTTTACCAGTTAGTCCTCCAGTATCGTCGTCAAAAGAAAAGAGATAATAATAATAGATATAATCAGTGAAGTTATTCAGACTAACAGGCAGAAAAGGAAATGAGAAAATGTTACAACAGTAAGCTGATTAAATTTGAAGAACAATATATATCGGTAATAATGATAACAATACTAATAAGTGTAGTTAAAGTTGTGAGGAGAGTAAGACGGGAGAGAATGTAAAGAAGTAAGACGACGAACTTAGTTGTCTATCCTTGAATGGTGTATGGGATTTTAAGAGGATAGGCCATTTGAACGCAGTTCTTGTGTCACTGCATGACTGTTCAGCCTTCTTTTGAAAGTGTTCACAGACGGTGCCGTAGCTACATCTGCCGGTAGGGAGTTCCAGGGATGGCAAACCCACAGTGAAAAGAAGTAAGAGCGCACCCTATTCCTTGCTCTCTGGTGAGCTATCCTTCTGGGATTTCCACTAAGTACCTTATACCTACTCAGTGGCAGGACACCTTTGTTTGGGTGATTCTGGCCATTTGTTGTCTTGTAGGCAGTAACCAAATCCATCTAAACCGACGGCAGTTAAACGTGAATAGGCCTCATTTCTTTAGCCTTTCCTCATATGGTTTATTTCGGAGACCAAAGACTCCTTTTGTTGCCCGTCTTTGGACTCTTTCCAAGAGGTTGGCGTCTCTTCTCAACAGTGAGGGTGCAGTAATATTATCATTTTGAGGTGTGGTCTGGCGTATGTTTTGCGCAACCTTAGAAAGAGCTCAGGAGTGAGTGCACCTTGCTGTCCATGTATATTGTGTATGACCGTATATGCCCCTGCTGCTTACCCTGTGTAATTCACGCTTGTGTCCATTTTTCAGTTTGAACTAGGCCTAAGTCGCCTTCTGACGTTGTGCAGGACAAGCTTTCGCTGCACAGGGTGTAACTTGTATTCTGCGGTCTACAGGTGCGTAACTTCACTACTTTGCACTTTTTCAGGTTGGAAGTCATGCCACTGGTCACCTCCCAGTTTTCCAGAAGCCTTAGATCTACCTGCAGCCTACCTGAGTCCCCCGACACTTTATTGCCCTTCATATCTTTACGTCGTCACCGCATAGAAGAGTCAAGCAGCTTAGATGGCATGGTAGATCATTGATAAAAATCAAAAACATCAGTGGTTCTAAGATAGAACCCTGCGACACTCCTGATGATGATCTGTGCCAGGATAACGGGACTCGATTGACCTTAGCGCGAAATCGCCTGTTAGCTAGGGACTCCTTTAACCATGACAGAAGTGGCTTACCTATACCTGCCTGACTTATTTTGTGTAGGAGAAAGTCATGGTAAACGGTTTCAAATGCCTTCTCAAGGTCTAGGAAGACCACATGGACTGGAACATTCAAATCCCGGCATGATGTATAACCGTCTCTAGCTGATAGTAGGTTTGTTACACGGGATCTGCCTTTTCTGAAACCGTGTTGGGTTTCATGGAGTATATCAGACCTATCAAGGTATTTCCTGGTATGATCGTCAAAAATACTTTCCAGTATTTTCGATACTACTGGGAGTAGAGCTGCTGGTCTATAGCTAGTGGCATTTTGCCTATCCCCACCCTTGAAGATCGAAGAAAGGATGGGTCTTTTCCACTCCCTTGGCAGTTTCCCCGAGTCCATTGAGTGTTGGAACAAGTTGTATAAGGGCCTACAGAGAGCTTCGGAGCACTGCTTCAGAACAGATGACCTGATGTCGTCACAAACCGAGGACTTTGCATATGTGAATCTCTGTAGCTTCCCTAGTACTACTGCCGGATATAATTGGACAGTTGCCACTAGGTTTTCCTATGATGAAATAGTAGTGCTCCATTTTGGTCCGTACCAGTTATACCCATAGTGCTGTTAAACTGTTTCCTAAATGCCGAAGTGAATGTCTCATCCACTTCCAGACTAGTGAAATTTTGCCCGTTTGGACTAAATGAGGCTGTCAGTCACGTCTCGTAAACCGTTAATGCCCAGCTCTTGCTACGCTCGGGCTCACGCTGTTCCTTGAAGTTTTCAGAAACGCTTGGTAATAACGGACGAAAAAACCAAAACACCAATTGTTGACTCGAGGATTCTTTATTGTTACACCAACATATAAATATTGTTATAACTGAGGTCTGTGAACAAATATTACAATAATAAATCACAAGATTACTTCTGATGGTTTACTGCTGACTTCTTTCTGAACAGCGACCGATGAGACGATGACTGTCGTATTGATGCCTCCGCGAAAATTGGGGAAGTTGATTTTGAGCAAACAACCAAGAATTGATCGTTCAATCTTCAACTACATTGACACTCCCCGGCAAAATACGGATCCAACCCCTTTTTTCCATCACGACCAATGCACGTTGACTTGGATGCCATTGCGAGAACCTGGGTCACACGGACAGAGCTGAAATGGAAAACAAACAGAAAAGCCAACACACCACAAGCATACCCACAGCACAATCTCACTCATCGCTGACGACCTGCGCCTCCAGACAGAGACCTCCTCTTGACATCTTGCAACAAAATCGCGACTTGCTAGAATGACTCTTGCAGAATGCAACGTGACCATAGAAGCACTTCATGATACTCTACGCACATCCTCTTATCTACTCACTACCAATTACCACTGAAATCGCTTGTCACTCATTCTGCCTCAGTTCTAGTAGCGGTGACGCATGCGAGCCCCAGTCGTTTACACTTTTTCTCCCCGGCGTGTCGGACCGCAGCTAACAATTATCTCCATGTGCATTTCATTCTCAGCAATAGCCTAGCCTCCCCGGCGTATACAACCCATCTGCTGTCCTTAACATCAGTCAATTCATTCATGGATGTAGAAGACTCGAAACAACTTCAGAAGTAATCACGACGAAAATTTTAACAAAATTACGCAATAACAACAAGATACGAAAACGACAAGTAAACACAATGAATCCAAAATACACCAATTGATATGACGCATCACACATATATACAAACTGTACACAAAAACTCGCGGATCACATCTTGATGGAATTCCTTCGAAGAATTGCAGGACTTACACCAGTACGCCTACAACCCTTCTCAGGTTGACGATTGTAAGTTGTGGAATGTCAGGACACAAACAGAATTACCGACAGCTAGACGACAGATGGCATCAATTCAGTATATACAATATGAACATATGTACAAGATCATACACCAAGCACATTGGACTGCTCATTGATGCGCTACTCTTTGAAGAATTGTAGGACTTACAGCAGTACGTCTACAACCCCTCTCAGGTTGACGCTCTAGGTTGGAAAATCGTCTAGTGTTTCATCCTCCGACTCTCGACTCTCAGCACCTTCCAGTAGACACAGTTTTCTAATATCTCGCACCAACATGTCACAACTTGTTCTCACCTCAACCGTCCTCACCAATCCATCACCACTACATATTAGCCTTACTACCACTCCCAAAGGCCACCTACCTGTGGCACATTTATCTGCTACTAATACTATGTCACCAACCTTTAAGTTTCGGCACAACTTTTTCCACTTGTCCCTGGTCTGCAATGTTAGAACATACTCCTTTAACCATCTTTTCCAAAATATATCTTTCATGTGCCTGGCTTGTTTCCATCTTTTAATCGTAGGTATTCCTTCCCCGCTTGCGTCCTCTATGCCAGGGTTGCCTCTCAATAACAATAATTTGTTTGAGGTTAACACATCAAAATCCTTGACGTCGTCCCTCACAGGTGATAACGGCTGGTCATTTAATATTCGTTCAGCTTCAAAAAAAATATCTCCGGCGTTTCGTCATTCAAACTCCGGTTTTTAAATATGGAGCTTAAAATACGCTTGATAATTGCTATAAGTCTTTCCCATAGCCCGCCTCTATGGCTGGCATGTGGTGGGTTGAAGTGCCACTCGATGTTCCTTTTCAGTAACTCTTCATGAACTCTCGTTTGGGGACCTTCAAAGAACTCTTTAAGCTCGGCGTGACAGCCACGCTGGGAGTGGTGCCATCATCTGCTGTACTGGACGAGCATTTCGGAGTTTACATTCCATGCACTTATCAATTATTTTACGGACAGCAGTACCTCCCTTCACTATCCAGAACTTACATCGAATACTTGATAGTACTTGCGAAGTACCCAAATGACCTTCAAGAACATGGTAGTGTCTTATAATGAGATCAGTGACTGGATGGTAGCAAGGTAATAAAGCCGGATGACGGGTCTCATATGACGATTCTAACATTTGTAGACGTCCACCAACTCTAGCGATCCCTTCGGAAACTATCGGAGATAATCTATCTAACCGCACCTTGAAATCTGCGAAATCGGGACTATCCTCCTTGGCAATCTCACCCCACGCTTCCCACTGAGCAGCCCTCAAAATCGCTAACTCTGCATTTCTAATATCTTCGACTCTCAAAGGCCCCACATTCATATTTTCGTATCCCGCAAGATGCATGACCTTTAAATACGTAACATATCGTGTCAACCACGCAACAGCTTTCAGTAGTTTGTACCAAGAAGAATAATATTTAAAAAGTGGATGTAAACCTGAATGTCTTTCTTGAGTAGATGTTAAACTGACACTTGTCTTCAACTCCAAGGCACACTCGTTTATCGGTGGTTCATCTTCTCTACGAGGCCACATACTATCAGCCCTTAGCAAGAACTCTGGACCTTTCCACCACTTATTTTTAACCACATTCATATCAATAACTCCTCGCGAGGCTAGATCAGCTGGATTTTTTCCAGA